TATAAGCTGAAAAAGGATGGCACAGAATTATTTTCTTTTTTAATATCAATGGTTTAATATAATTAATTCGAATTATTAGGGATTCAATAATTCTGATTCATAGATTGTACGCTTTAAAGAGAGGCTGAAAAAGAGTGACACAGAATTTTTTTTTTTTAATATTAATCATTTAACGTAATTAATCATATTCGAATTATTATCAATAATTCTGATTCATAGTTTGTACGCTTTAAATATAAGCTGAAAAAGGATGGCACAGAATTATTTTCTTTTTTAATATCAATGGTTTAATATAATTAATTCGAATTATTAGGGATTCAATAATTCTGATTCATAGATTGTACGCTTTAAAGAGAGGCTGAAAAAGAGTGACACAGAATTTTTTTTTTTTAATATTAATCATTTAACGTAATTAATCATATTCGAATTATTATCAATAATTCTGATTCATAGTTTGTACGCTTTAAAGATAAGCTGAAAAAGGAATTATTTTCTTTTTTAATATCAATGGTTTAATATAATTAATTCGAATTATTAGGGATTCAATAATTCTGATTCATCATCAATTTATTGCAAAATTTTAAATAAATTTTGGATCGCTTGTTGTCCCTCCAAAATAGGAACAGAATAGAATCAAAAGAGACGATGTGTTAATCTCATAATTTTTGGCGATTACGATTCTCGAAGAAGAAATTGATCGGCCTCCAAATTAATTTCGAGAGCATAAAGAAACGTTTATAGTAATCATTAGAATTCGATTAGCCGCGTCATTCTTGATCCAACCCCGATGCGTGAAGGGATTTCGAGGGATTCGAAATTTCACGGTGGGACATTCCTTCGCGTGGCGAAAGAACGCAAACGCGAGTGGTCAAAGAAAAAGAAGAAAAAAGGAAGCGCGGTGGAAATTGAAGTTCGAATTACCGAGATGGAACGCGTGCAGCGTTTCGTCCCGCTACGAGTAAATGGAATTTCAGAGGAGCGAGAAAAAAAATCGTGGCTCGAAATTGGAAAAGAGCCACTCGTGGATAAAAACAACCAAACAATCTTCCTCCCCTCCCCAATTAATTTCGAATTATCCGAAAATCAATTTTATTATTTTATTATTATTTTATTATTTTAATAATTTTATTATTTTTCCGTCCTGATTAGTTGATTATTCCTCCGAAGAAAGAAAATTCTTTCTTTCGATTAACGCGTTTCGTTTCATCCTCCATTTCGAGAGGGAAATTAATTTTTTCTCCAACGAGATACATTTCCTCGTTAACGAGATAAATCGTGGTCAAGGGATAATTTTTTTTTTTTTTTGCGACGGGGAAAAAATCTCTGCCACGAATTCACTCTGTTTATTTTACAAGGGGCCACTTTGGCCGGCAAATGAAAGCGATACTTTTTTTTCTTCCCTCTTCCCTTAAATAATAAATCGGTTCAACGTAAGCAAAAGATAATTTGACATTTAAAAACGAGGCGGGGAAACTAATCAGCGCCGAAACTAACTTTCTCTGTCCACCACTTGTTCATTGTCACGAGTTCAGACTGGATGAATGGACGAGGAAGAATTTTTCTTTGGAAGCGCAAGGATTACCGGAAGGAGGATCTTTTCTTTCTTTTTTTTTTTTTTCGTAATTACACCCGGAACTACAAGAGCAATTTTACTTGTGATGATTCTACAGTTTTCAGAGAGTCTGTTTTTACAAACATTTTCTTTCTTTCTTTCTTTCTTTTTTTTTTTATTAACTTCCGCTCTCGGTACACACGTGAATTTTGCTCGATGAATCTTTTAAAAACGTGGCCGAGAGTCGAGCCTCGATTAATTATTCACGCGTGATCATGCATTTCGCAACCTTCTGAGAGGAAAAACTGCATTATGCGAGTCGTTGCTTCTTTTTTCCCTCTCTCTCTCTCTCTCTTTCCTCGTATTATTTCATCGAATTTCCGTTTCGAAAATACGAAATAAGTACAAAAATTCTTTATTTATTCCTCCTTCCTTGCGCCATACGTTGGAAGAAAAGTGGAGTGACGCGGATCTAATTTAAATATTCGAATACACGGGAACGTTATTTTTCGGGATGGTCCGTGTTTCGAGGGTAAAAAAAAAAAAAAAAAAAAAAGGAGTACAGCCTGCAACCAATCTCCCCGTGAGTCATCGATTGCGTTTCCGCTAGACGATTGCGGATAGAATTTTTGCGTGTGCGCCAGCAAGGAACGAGTCGATCGGAGTCGAGAGGATAAATATTATATCAAACGTGGACGTTTCGGAATGGACATTTGGTCGGATGGAGAAAGAAAGTGTTTGGTAAACGATCGTGGATCAGTGATTCTGTATGTGCAAAAATAAGTCAAGAAACTGTGACACATTATGCTGGACGATTCACAAATAGTTCGCGAGGCGTGAGTTACAGAACAGGGAAGAACGATCAACATTTGCTTGAAAGGCGGTTATTATACGTTAGGCTGGATTTACATTGTTGCAGCTGTGTTTCAGTTGTCCGTAAACTACGAACTTCTGTGAATAACAAAAATATCGCAATAAATCGCAATATTGTTCGCGAACAATTCGATCAACTGTTCGATGAGTACGCGCCTTTAAACTGAACCTATACTACTGTTAATATATAATTTTAATAAATTATGTTCGCTGGCAATGGATATTTTTGCGAACATTATCTTGCGAATTAATTAAATTTTCGTTTATTCGTTGTAAATTTTTCAATGAGTATGAGCCTTTAAGTCTAAATTGCTATTCGTAACATTTTAATAAATTATGTTGGTAATGGATATCTTTGCGAACATTATCCTGCGAATTATTCGATGAGTATGAGCTTTTAAGTCACCATTGCTATTCGTAACATTTTAATAAATTATGTTCGCTGGCAATGGATATCTTTGCGAACATTATTCTGTGAATTATTCGATGAGTATGAGCTTTTAAGTCACCATTGCTATTCGTAACATTTTAATAAATTATGTTCGCTGGCAATGGATATCTTTGCGAACATTATTCTGTGAATTATTCGATGAGTATGAGCTTTTAAGTCACCATTGCTATTCGTAACATTTTAATAAATTATGTTCGCTGGCAATGGATATCTTTGCGAACATTATTCTGTGAATTATTCGATGAGTATGAGCTTTTAAGTCACCATTGCTATTCGTAACATTTTAATAAATTATGTTCGCTGGCAATGGATATCTTTGCAAACATTATGTTACGAATTAATTAAATTGTATTCGTTGTAAATTATTCGATGAGTATGAGCCTTTAAGTCTACATTGCTATTCGTAACATTTTAATAAATTATGTTCGCTGGTAATGGATATCTTTGCATTATCCTGAATTAATTAAATTGTATTCGTTGTGAATTGTTCGATGAGTATGCGCTATTCATAACATTTTAATAAATTATGATTGCTGATAATGGATATTATCCTGCGAATTAATTAAATTGTATTCGTTGTGAACTATTTAATGAATATACACCTTCTACATTGCTATTCGTAACATTTTGATAAATTATGTTTGCTAATAATAAATATTTTTGCGAATATTATTCTTCAATTATTTAACTAAAACTTGTGTTCGTTGCGAACTGTTCGAGTACATACCTTTAAACTGAGTTTACACTGCTATTCGCGAAAATTTCGCAACAATTTGTAAATTAATATTCGCTACTGATACACAAATACATTTTCGCGTACAGCGAATATCACGCAATAAATCGACCAAGGAATACCGTGTTTACGAATAATGTTAATTAAATTGTTTGTTGAGTACGCGCCTTTAAAGCACGGAGTTCAAATACGGACGCGTTGTTTCATTTCATCGACGAACAATTCTGCATCTGTTCATTACCTCCACTACGATACGAGATGATATTTCTATACGATTGCCGAGCAAAATGTAGAAAGACGTTTCCAAATAGCAATTAAGAGTGGAATTAATCGGGCCATTTTTCACCCAGGCGTGGAGTACGGAGGAGGGGGAGCCCGAAGCAGGAAGTGGCACGCGTGGTTCGTTACCACGAGAGGTATCGGGCAATCAAGTTAATGAGGAAAGAGGAGCAACGAGTCGAAAGAGACGAGCGAGAAAGAGACGCGACAAGGAAGGGCTTTCACCTAATGGTTTGAGAAACGTTGCTCCTCGTCGTTGGCCCGCGCCACGCGCCATTTATGGCGACTCTCATTCTCGGCCTCCGCGATCATTTGGCCCTCCTCAATCGAGGTTTCCTCCTTTTTCTTTAATCGCAGAGGGAACGTTGCGTCAAACTTACCGTGCGTCATCGGTGTGCAGCCTCAGCCCGATCTTTGATACGCATGTCCACTTTAGAATTTTCGAAAGTTTCCCCTCGTTACTGCTCGGCCACGTGTCCTGCAACACACGATCAAATCAGTTTTCTCGTCGATCGTTTCTTCTCTTCCCTCCGTGATGTTGCATCAAGCAATATCATCTCATTCAATTATTATAGGTGCAAACAAATTTTCTCTCACAATTGAACGCGATATGATACAATTTTCGCCATCTTGTTTCATTGGACGATATAAATTTTTCGAAATATTTCGAAGTGGCTATTCAATGAATTCAACGCGTCAATTATTACGATACAATTTTTCTTACGCGAATAAAATGCTCCTATTTTTTCACATTTTATATATTTCACATTTTTTATAATTAATATTAGAAAGAAAATATTATGATATAAATTTTTCTGGCATTTCGAAATATTTCACAAGCATTTCAATGTGTCAATTTTTCGAACGCGAATGTATCGAATCAAATCCTACGAATTATCTTTTCGACTATATTTGCTCTAACTAATATTAGAAAGAAAAAATTATATAACAATTTTTGCGAACATCTCGTTTCATTGGACGATATAAATTTTTCGAAATAATTCTTTTACGAATTATTTTTTCAGGAGTATATTTTTTATAATTAATATTAGAAAGAAAATATTATAATATAAATTTTTTTGGCATTTCGAAATATTTCACATCAATCAATTTTTCAAACGCGAATGAATCGAATCCTCGTTTCATTATCCCTTCACAACGAATATATTCACTCTAACTATATATTAGATATAAATTTTTCTGACATTTCACAAACGTCCATTCAACGTGTCAATTACAATTACGATACGAACGCGAATGTTTCGAATCCCCCTACGAATCATTTACTCCGACTAATATTAGAAAGAAAAAAAATAATATATATATAATTTTCGCGAATATCTCGTTTCATCGAACGATGTAAATTTTCCATTTCGAAATATTTCAACAAGCGGCCATTCAACGAGTCAATTACAATTACGATACGAACGCGAATGTTTCGAATCCTCCTACGAATCATTTACTCCGACTAATATTAGAAAGAAAAAAATTACTATATATATAATTTTCGCGAATATCTCGTTTCGATTTTTCGAACGCGAGCAAACAATTATTATCCCTTCGCAACGAGTATATATACTCTAATTATTAAAAAGAAAAAAATTACCAATTAGTTTTTTTCTCCCGAGACAACCCCGAAGAAAGGAAGAAATTCGTCTTGTTAACGCACAGCAATCGTTGGTTGAGGACACGCAACCCTTAACGCCGATTTCGTGACCGCGAAAGTGGCGTCGAGTGGCGTAAACAGCGCAAGTTCTGGGTGTGTAAACGCGATCAGATTTACGAGCGCGGCATTTAGCGCGATAAGCCACGACCCACTAATGCGAACCGTGTGCAACACCGCGAGGATTGAGCGTTAAGCACGCCACTCTCGCGGACAGAAACTTTTCTATGGGCGGAGAGAAATGTTGTTTGAATGGCGCTGACGTCTCTGATGGAAACCCGCCGTGCCGTGCATCACCGAGCTCACGAATCCCTCGATTCGTGTAAGAGTCCCGTTGAAAACGTGAAAGAAAGATTATTTCTTCCGATTTTAAATATTTATATTTAAAATCGGCCACGAAAATAATTTTATTAAACGAAGACGTAGCGAAAGGATAAAGAATTTGTTTTTTTTTCTCATGGTTCTTATTACATTTTAGAATAGAATTTTGCAATATTAATTAATTTTCTCAAGTCAAAATTATAAATTTTCGGTTTACTTTTGCACGAGAGATCATCCTCCCCGCACCTCGTTTTACATCCAGTATAAAATTATAATACACATATATATAAAAAGAAAGTAAAAAAGAAAATTTAATATCTCTCTTCGCGCAAGCAACGAAATACCTTTTAATCGATATCAAAGAATAATTAATGATCCTCGATGGAGTTTCCTTTAAAGATAAGTATAAAAACGCAGAAAACCATCCAACATAACAGATAACACCTCGTACGTTTGTGCAGAAGTGCAGAAGAAACGAGAAACAGAAGCCGAAACTTCCCTGTGTACACGTGTACACATTTCGCGATATTATGCAGATCCAGGGATCTGCACGTTTCCACGTCGAAAAGCGGCACGGAACGTGGATAAAATTCGACTGGCATCGAATAAAACTCCGGCTAATAAAAGAAAGAAAGGGATATCATCCCACGCGAAGGATCCATAATCGCCGCCGATCGTTCGATAAACGATTCTCGACGAAAACGACGATGGACGAGAGAGATGGCTCGATCCTATCCTATTTTTCTTTATTTTGTTTCGCGAGTGCCCTTTCTCTCGCACGAAGAACACACAAAGAATTACACTGCTCTGAGCGAGGAGCATTTTCAGCTCGAAATCGAGCGTCGTGGAAACAAGAGAGATGGATATAGAGAAGAAGAGGGGTAGAGAGAAAGAGAGAGAGATAAAAGGGAAGCTCAAGTTTTCTCCCCCCTCTCTGTACTTTTTCTAAAAAAAAGGAGCAACTACTCGCCTCTTATCCGTCAACTCGATATCAAAGGATCGAGTCGAAATCTTGAACGAGAGAAAACTCCAAATTTCTCTTTGATACCACCGATATTTTATCGTTCCCTTTTGGATTAAGATTCTTTCTCTATCGTTCTTCCATTTTCCGTTTTATTCTCCCTCTTTTTCTTTTTTTTTTTTTTTTTAAGTCCTTTGTCACATATTAAATTTCACGGGAGAGGGTATTCGATATCGATTTAATCGGGATACGATCTTCAAACGATCTTTCGCCGTGTCGCGTTCCATCAGAGGAACCACCTGTGTGTAATTCGGCCGTGCTGGAAATTGAAATCGTCCTTTCTCCACCCTCCCCTCCACGAGGAGGATCTTTCTCTCGTTCGAAAGGGAGCTGAAAGAAATTACCCGCAACTTTCGAGACAAAGAGAGTTTTCTCATCTGCAATCCCTTTTTTCCCCTTTCCACCTCGCCTTTCAATTTTGCATGCAAAACGTTTCAATTCCTCCACCCCGGAAGATCGGATCGAGACCTTCGAATCAATTCCTTCCGTTCTATCGATCTCCACCGACGTAATCTCACTCATAGTTTCCTCGAATAATCCAATATTTATGATTTTTTTTTTTAATAAAAATATTTATATCGCGTTTATAAAATCACCTTTATTTTATTTATTTATTTTTTTTTCTACGATGCAATAAAATATTTCCGTTTCGTTTTATAAAGTTATATAAATAAGACTATATATAAAGCTCTCACCGCCAGTTGATCATCGATATTAAATATTCCGAGGAGAACGTTAATTTGTTTATTATCGATAATTAATCCAACCGGTGGATATATATATATATTTAAACCGAGTCATTCGAATAATTTCCGCGTAATTCCAGGAGAATTTCGCTGAGGGAAATGCATCTTCGAAGTCTTTCTTCTTTGAGAAATTCCCTAATAAAATAGAACGCTGTGAGGGGGGGAATGCGTAACTACGTCCGAGCGAACGAAACACGGTTAACGGTGTCGTTCACTCCGCAGTTACGGGCGAAGAAAAGGAAATTAAATTCCCTTACAGCTCAATCTCCATACATTTCACGCACGGAAGCCGTTTCCCGTTCGCCGTTCGTTCAAACGGCCCCCCCCCCCCCTCCGCCATATCCAGATAAATTTCCCAATTTCGACGGGAAAACCGAACCGAACTTTCTAATTGTTTCCCGACCGATACGTATCGATATCGATGTGACGTGAAATACGAGCCAGAAACTATTCCTATTTTATGACGCTTACGATTGCGTCAGATTTTCTTTTCTTATCGAACGTGTATGTTCGTGAGAATTTTCCTAGTAGTCTTTAGTACTGGCGGCCATTTTTTCTCGTTTTCTTCGCAACGAAATCAACAATTTCGATTCCGATTTTTCTTCCGATCTTTCTTCCTTAACGATCGAAATTGGCAAGAGGGAGGATGAGAAATATCGAACAACTGGCCGTGGCAAGTGTATTTTGATGGAAAATATTCCCTATCCGGGGTTCCATTGGAATAGGGGAAAGCGCGGATAATCGCTCATCGATTCGAGTCGCGACACCTAAGAGACACCGCGTCTTATCTACGGAAAAAACGATCCCTGGTGGAAATTCCAGAGGCTAGAAGAGAAAATAGTTTCAGTTCCAGATTCGTTACAACGTCTTATGATATCGCTCCGCACAAAAAAAAAAAGTAGTCTGAAAGTATCCTCGTAACTTCGCGTTTCCAAGGAAGGAAACGATAGTTTTTCTCTCTCTCTCAAATTTTCAGACACGCGAATCTCGGGCTAGAAGAAAACTTTCGTGGAGCGTTTCCAATTTTTCGTGGCGACGTATCCTTCCCCGTGAGTACGTATCACCGCGCTTTCCACGGCTTTTAACCATGGCTTCTCTCGCCAACCGAAAAGAATACCGTGTAATATTGACCGACTCTGTCGTCCCGAGATTTCTCGCCACCGATATCCATCCAACACGAGTACGTCTCACGGCCATTCCTTTCCGATTTGCGATCCTTTCCTCGTCTCGTTTCGAATCGAAAGCCAAGATCTTTCAATTCAGTTGAAAGTATACTCTATAACGGTATGTTATTGAGAAAGATCATTGAGAATCCCCCTGAAAATTGTAACTACGAATATATATCATATTAATTTTTTTTCTTATTTTTCCTTAAAAAAGGAAAAAATCGTTAGCGTTAATATTCTCATGAGAAGGAACTCTGTCAGATAAAATTGTTTTAATTAACAATATAGCGTTAGTGGAATAAGTATAGATAAGTGAGAAAGAAAAGACAACGAGAGCACGTTATCCAAGGAGCACGAGACGAGATCGTATGGAAAGATAGTATCGAGAAAGAGAGAGAGAGAGAGAGAGAGAGGGGAGATTAAGTCAATTTTGAAAACTGATGCCCACGTCCTGACACTCTGGCGGACAATCGAGCTTAATTTGGCCGGTCAACAGCGACAGCCGGATAACTACGTTACATGGGATTTCTAGGGATCCCTAGACCGGTTCGAGGGAAATTT